TTACTATCAACAAAATTCAAACAGAACAGAAAAAAGTTAAAATATATGGAAGTAAAAGTGTAATGACCATATCACTTTTGAATTCCAAGATTGTTTTAAGAATTGTTATGCCCTGAAGATACTAAAAGTAATATTATATAATGAAATATAGCTGATGCATTTTCCACAAGCTAGACCATCTTTATTTTTGTACATTCTCATTTCAGAAGGGTGAATCATATCTAATCATATGTCCTGTAATCAAACCTCTTGCCCAAAATGCAGAAGTGCCAGCAGTTTACACTTTTTTAATGCTTCTAGTTGTGATAATTATGATAATTTGTATATATATATATATATATATATATATATATATATATATTATCTTAGTTTTTTTTAGCCTTCACGATAGACTGATCACCCCCGTCAGACTCCCCTTCTGTGTTTACAGCCATGTCTCAACACCTCCTGCTCTTTGGTGCGGGTCTTTATGAGTGCTTAGTTAGTCAGGTATGAGGACAGCAGCCTTGTTGGAGTCCGCAGTTTGGAGACAGGAAGTTGGAGATTTCCTGGAATGTGAGTTTTTCCCCACAGTGGTGCAATAACAGCACTGCACTCCGATTCTGTGCTGTAGCTCCGCGGGTCAGTGTTAGTGGGACAGCCAGAGGACGAGTGGACCGGGGAAGCTCAAGAATAGCAGGAACCCCTCACACGCCTTCATCCAGGGGTTTTCTCTCTGCAACTACGTCAGATAGGCTTTCCAGGACATTGGCTAATGCTTGTATCAGATGGCCATAGAGTAACATGAGGCCAGTGACCTTTGTGGTATTGTTTATATCTTAGTGGAAACATGATCAAAAAGGATGCTCAGTTTTGAAAAAGATGGAGTGGTCAAAACTACATTAGTCCAATTCTGTCAAACTGTGGTGGTTTGTTTTTTTCTGTGCAACACAAAAGCAAAGAAAAAAGTGAAAGGTGCTCTACATAGCTTTTCTAGAGGAGAGTTTGCCACCTGTTTGTCTCATGGAGATGTTTTGCTTTGCCAGAAAGGTTCCACAGCATGATATTAAACATTGTTGATGTTTTACTCTTTAAAAAATACAGGATAAACATGGATTCTCCACAGATCCTTCATACTGTGGAACACAGGCAGTCATCAGTAGATTGACTATTTACATTTTTTGTTACTATCCAATTCTAGACCAAAAACACAATCATGTTCTTCTTCAAAGTAACAACAATTAAAACTTAGTGGATAAAATTATATATTGTTGTGTCAGGAAGGGCACCAATCATAAAATATAAGACTGCCATAACTCATGATCTGAATTTGCTGTGGAGACCCCCTATGTGACAGAGGAGCAGCCAAAACTCATACTAATTTGACATGTACTTATATTTGTAGCTGACTTGTACATTATTAGTAATTAAATGTGAAGTCTGCATTGTAAAACAAACACTGCCTCACCCCTGATGACACCATATCTTCAGAGTCACTGACATCACAGACACGCTCTTTTGATCCAGACCCATCTATCACTGAGCTGCACCTGTCACATCTGAGATACAGCTTGTTTTCGTCTAAGCCATGACATCACTCCCCCATCAGAGCACCCGTCCTATTCCCCAGGGCAGGGTGGGGGGTCAGGGGGGATCACAACCTTCCCACCAGCCCTGTGTGCTTCCCAGAGGGTCCCAGGACGCCCAGTGAAAATCGGCCTGGGAACTGGAGTCAGGCCAGGCACGTAACCACCAGCACACACATAATACAGATTGGCGCATGACGTACAGGGGTCAGCCGTGGACGTGAGGTGGGCTGCCCTGCTACAGAAGAGGAGCTGTGATGGAGTTGGTGTAGTAGTGGGGTTAGTGTGATGATGGGGGGGTTTGTCAGACTTGACCTTTGGTGTTGTGTGAGTCATGGGTGGCAATGATGAGTGACTAATTTTATAAGGTGTATGGGGAGATGGATGAATTGTAACCATGAATGGGATTTCCTTGATTTGTGACTGTTGGAAAAACAGTTGAGACTGGAGTTCAGAAGAAGTTTATTTACCATCAGTACGAGACCCAGAACCTGGACACATAAAATCTTAAGACACCATTATACAATTGTCCAGTCTAGTTCAGTCCAGTCTGCTCACAGTCTGGTCTAGTCTAGATATGCTTCTGTTGTAGGAAGTATTATACATCTGATGATGAAGGCCAAGATAACAAGGAGCTGGCAGTGAGTGCCCTCAGAATATCTCTAAAAGTGAGATTTAATAATAAAAGTTAGGGATAGGAGATATGCCAAAAATTCTAGATTTTATTAAGACCAAATAACATTTCTATTTTTATCACTAATCATGTACACTTTGTATCTGCTTCTAATGAAAGGTCATGGGATGAGAGGGTGGGGAAAATCTCTGTTTGAGCATAGAACTACATTAAAAAGCTACTATAGAAAAGCTCTGAATCATTAATTTCAAGACTTTTAAGAGTACAAATGCTTGCTCACTTGAGATACATGTTGGATTTAGTGCCGAGAGAATCCTTACATTGTGCTTGATCTGCCTGATTCATATCGTACAGTTTATTCACACAGTTGGAGTGGGCAGTTTGAGTACGTGTCCACAGTGAGCCAGTGTGGTCTGTTCTCACACACTATAGCCCTATTCTCCTCAGGCCTGACAATGCACAGTGCAGTGACGGCATCCACAGCCTTCCTTGTATTGTCCCACTCAAAGCACAGGGCACAGCTGCAGCACCCAAGTGAGGAGACAGCCCACACTCCATTGACATTTCACTTACATACTAGATTCAGGAAGACAAGTCGGATATGTTGCTACTTTAGGCCTACTGCTGTGATGTTTATGTAATGATCATTTGTAATGGACATTTTTTCCAGATATCATCAGTGCAGAGAAAAATATGGGTCTCTCTTCCAAATCAATCATGTTCTAACAGACAAGATTTGACCTGGATAGTCTAATAGTCCATAGTCAACTATAGTACAGGTAGTTCTTATGGTACATGGATTGCTTATGATGGTTTCGGGGTGCAGTTCTTGTATACACAGTGTTTTATTTAGAGATTTATTTTGGTTGAGTTTTCATATATAACTATTAGACCTGTTTTAGTCCTAGATAATCTGGTCCTGCTTTAGTTTTGGTGTATCTGGTGGTATATGGAAAGCCAAATTTAATAGCTTTAAAGGTAGTCCTACAGAAGACCTAAGATATAATATCAATTTATTGCTAATTCAATTGTTGCATGGGAATGACAAATATATTTCATGTACTAAACTCGAAACACTTGCTAAAGGCTTATTGCCTACAATTCAAATAATGAGCTCATTTGGAGACATGTGAAGTACTTCCACTTGTAAGCTTTTTGTTTTTATCAATATTGTATTTATTTGAATAAAAATTATGCGGCGCGTTTTCAGAGAGGAACAACTTTTATGGGCATTTGGGCATGTGTTTAGCGCGCCTGTTGTTGCTGGAAGTGGCGTACATAGCAGGGGGAGGAGACTGGGCGCTGTTGTGAGTGGAAGTGGGAGGGATTAGCTCATTGAAGAGAAGAGTGGCAGCCTACTGACAGACGCTGGACGACACGGAGTTTGCTGAGACGCTGTTTGTACTATACACAAGGATAATACTCACTTCTAACTTGTGGATTTGTTAATTTTATCTTTGGATACGCGTTCTTCCTTTACGCACGGATAACTTTTCAAGTTCTGATGCTGCCTCCGGACAATGAGAGAAACGCTCACAATGAAATTCGCCTGGAAAAGTAAAATGGTAAGAGGCTATTGCCATCATGTGCTCCGTTGTTTGGTTTTAGGTGGTGTATGGGGGGAGGCTAAAATATTAGGGGAGAAGAACGGAGCGGGGGCTGTGGGCTGCTTGGGAAAGCAGCGGATAAAGAGAAAAGAAAACGAGAGGGGTCGTGGACAGAGGGGAAAGGTTGAACTTTAATTGTTTTGTCTGCGCTAATTCAGGTTTAACCCACATTAGTCGTGCGTAAAGTTGGGAATGGTGACCAGAAAGGAGGGGAGCGCAGGAGAGGGGGGCATGCAGACAGAAATCCCCTCCTGCCTCAACCACAACATAACAGACCCAATCCGCTAGTTTTACTTTTCTGTCGTCTCTCCCCCTCTCTTTCTTTGTACAAGGAAAAGTTAACTAAAAGGAGAACTGTTGCCGAGAAGAGACCCCCGGGGTACACCGTCTCCGCTTCTATGCTCCGTTTGTTGTGGTTATCTTTGGAGTATTGTTTCACACACAGTTAATAGGGAGATTAGGGTTTATTTGGATAGCGATTGTACCAAGCCCTTAGAACTCCCCTTGAAGCTTTCTTTTCCTCAAGCCAACCGCGCTGAAGCCGCCCATCCATGTTGACATTTTCAGTTTACTTAGAGACTACATTTGGACTTAATTGTATTGTATTATTTGAATTAAACAACTGATATTGTTATTTTGCATTACATCATCCAGCCACAGGGGGGGCATAATCCAATGTACTCTTTGTGTCAATCCAAAGCCTGATGGATTAGAAAGAGTGAGTAGAGAGTTGTGTTAGGGAGGGCGTCTAAAGTAGAACAACTGCATACAAAATACTGGAAAAATAAAAGAAGTCCTTTAAGAAAATGACATGCTTATTATCACACTTTTGCTTTTTACTGCAGGTTTTACACTGGTATGGAAGAACAGAAAACATTTGGATTCTCCCATCTGTCCTGTACATGTAGATAAACTTTAAAACATGTTGAGTCTAGAATAAAACCATTGTCATAACACCAAAGTCAGCAGTTTGTTGTAAACTGTAAAAGGCACTAAATCTCTATTTGTGATCGAAAGCCATGCGTTTGCTGTGTGTCCGTTTTGTGCGCTCTGGACCGGACAACAGGACCTCCTGCTATTGTTTTGGGAGTGTGTGGACCACATGAGTCACACACTGATGTATTTATCTGTATCTGAGCCAGCCAGAGTTTTCCCGACCGACAGCAGGCAGTGAAAAGGACAAGAAAGAGAGAGATATACAGGCAGAATTTACTGCTGATGTGGATTAGCTTTGAAATGGAACTTGGAACAACTGCTGTTTGCAGCTTTTACATGTGCTTCTTGGCCTACTGTTGATGGTATGGTTATGGTATATAAAGCTATAATTGTGCTGAATATTTGGGAAAATATTAGAAACATTAAGAACTAGCCCTGTGACACAGTATTCTATTTTAAGACATCAAAGATCAATTAATCAAGTGAAAACATGCAAGCACTTATTTGGAATTAATTGTGTAATGAGCCCCTTGCTGTTTTCTATCTCTGTATTTCCTGTAAATAATAAACAATTTCAGATGACTTCTCTGCCAGATGGAGAACCAACATTATAATATTTTGCAGATTGGAGAAATTGCATTATCTGTAAATACATGTTATTCTGTACAGCCCCGCTTTGCATCCAGCTAAAACCCAAACACACGCCCTTCTCTGGCCCCTTAACACTGGCCATTGAGCCTTTTAATGTCTACTGTGACCTTTGACCTCCTTCTCAGCCTCCCCTCTGTTTGGGCCAGGAGACGCACATCGAGTTGTGTCAAATAGGAGTAGGGCCATTCCCGGCTGCTCTTATGTTTGTGTTAAAACTTGGCCTTAATAGTGCGTGCGTGGTGTTTATATTTGGACTATCCCCCTCTCTCCCCCTCTTTTTCTCTTTCTTTTTCTTCTTTTCTCTCTCGCTCTCTGTCTCTTGGATGTCTCAGCAGATCCCTGGAGCTCTGGACTGAAAACTTCTGATTCCATCTCTGTCTCTAATGTTTATTTACGCTGCCTGTTGTTTGTCAGTGATTTACAACAACCCAGTACAGACACAGTGCATATGGTCGGCTGCTTAAGAGCTCAACGAAATTTATTTTGACTTCCAAGACAATTTAATAAGTAGTATGCACAGTACAATAAACAGTGACAAAGACAGGAGACTAAAATCCTCTAATTTGAACAAAGTACTTTAAAGGTGCACTGCGTAACATTTCTAGTCGGGGGTCTTCTGTCTGCTTGTCTCCATGAAAAAGTTATTGCTTTGTTTAGAATGCTCCACAGTATAGATGAAATCTATCAAGAGGGAGACAAGTAAGTTACAGCACTACAATCCATTACAGTTCAGATCTGTGAAGAGTAGTCCCTATTCACAGAAGGAATTATAGTATTTCTGAACAATAGAAACACTTTAAACATTTCCATCTAGCAATTGTCCATTTTAAGTCATACTATGGAACATTCCAGGGAAAGCAATAACATCTCCATGGAGACAAGCAGGTAGCGGCCCCTTCACTAGAAAAGTTGTGCAGAGCATCTTTAAGGCATTTTGATATGTGAATTCTAACTTTGAAGTCTATGGGTATTAACCTGAACTACCATCACAACATCTCAGCCCATTGCAAGATCGATCAGTGCCTGTGTGGATATTTGTCTATTGATGTAATACCATGTGTTTTTGGAAATTTCCATTTGATTATGTTATTAACTGTGATCCGAGTTTGTTTTTTCCATTTTAAAAGTGGTTATAGCACTTTTCCTTTAAGTGCTTTTTTCTATTCATCACTGGTTCTTGTGTAAAATTGCAGCTACAAATCTGTGCAAATGCCAAGTCAAGTTGATTTAAGGTTCGTTTAGCTCTTATCTGGAGGAATGAGGTCCTGGTCAGAGACAGTCTATAAAGCAGGGAGTAGATGTGATAGGCGAACATAGGCTCTGGCAGACTGCAGGACGTGGGGGCTGGGGAATTCTCAATGTTTATTGCACTAGAGTCTATCTCTGTCTAATTTCATTGGAACAACAGCGCTCGTCTTTCCTCTCTAACACTTTTCCAAGAGCACTTCAGTCAAAATCACACTTGAGCTGCCAGTTATTTCAGAGCATCTTCTCTTCCCTGTCTAGAAATTTAAGCAACCAAATTGTTATATTAAAGTAAAATGTATTTATGAGAAAATGATTAGGTACTTCAAGTTTTTTTGTAATATTTTCATTGGATAGTTGGACAATGGTTGTGATGGACAATGGTATTGCATCATGTTTTTGTTTTGTTTTTTTACTCTTGAAAACTTTTTGCTGTCATAATTGTTTAATACCGGAGTGACATGTTTCTACTCTTACAAGTGATAGTAATTGATAGTAATTGTGGAGGTACAATATGCAAAAAATTATAAATAAACTGATCTTTTTTTTTCTCATCAGATGTAAAATTTTTCTTTGTCTCGATAAACAAAAATGTAAAGATTCTAATCCTTCCCCATGCTTTTTCTGTGTACAGAGCTCGGTGCAGGACTGGGGGGAGGAAGTTGAGGAAGGAGCCATCTACAATGTGACACTGAAGCGCGTTCAAATCCAACAGGCGGCCAACAAGGGGGCACGATGGCTAGGGGTGAGTCCACCTCCCATCTATCTCTATCCTGCACTGGGACCATAATAAACAATGAAATAGTTCACATGTTTTCAGTTGGAAGTGGCCCGTGCACTGCCTGTTGTTTTAACATTTCTGTTATAAATCTCCTGGATTGGACAACACCTTTAGTCCCTGGCTCATAATCACCGTTTTGGCCAAACTAACTCCAAAAATGTGGTTTCCTGACTCTCCAAATGTTAGCAGAGCTCTCTTTTCTCGTATGCTAGGTTTATGAAACAGTGCTGTAACAAAAAAGTGGGTATTATCGGATTTTGCTGGGGTTGTACATTTTTCTGAGCGTACAAGGCCCTGCTGTTTCCTGCTTTGACTTGTGTTTATTAGTGTAATAAGATGTTATATGAAGCATGCAGAGGCCAGTTTAGCCTAATGTTAAATGTACACGTTATAGTCTGGTTTTCTGTTACTGATTGGCACATGTAAATATTAATTACAGGTGGTGGGTATCGTGTTGTTTGTGAAGTAAGGTCATGTCATCAAAGCTTCTGCACAATATAATGTCAGAGCCTGTTGTTTGAATCGAATATATTTAAGGTATTTTAAAAGATTTAAAGTTAGTTTCTTATCCTGTTTAAGTAATAGTAGTAAACTTATTGTGGAAGACCAAGTTTGAAAGTCAGTAGTTTTCAATGTGTAATCAAAATAAAAAATGTATAGAAGTATTATTACTATATTTAGAGTATTTCTTGAGCGTTTGCGACTTTTATTAGGTTGCATAAGTGGACTACAGCTGTGTCACAGATCTAATGGTGATTCTTTCTGTAGTGATATGTGCATAATATATGTCTGAATGTCAGTTGTGTCACTGTTGTAGAAAGATGGCGTGGTGTGGTGTATTGTTATGGCGTGGGAGGCTGGGAGGGTAGGAGAGCCCTGTGTGTCTGTGAGGACTGTGGTGGAGGAGGGGCCTCTCTGATTAAAAGCAGATTGGAGCGTTTCCTGCTCTAGTGTGCTAACTTTATCAAGAGTGCTCTCCCCGTACTTTGTGTTTTTGTGTGAACCCAAATCTGGAAAAAGTGGGACACTGTGTAACTTGGCCATTTGTAATACAACTAAGACTTTTAATCATTTCTCTGTTTTTGTTTGTTCCATTTGGGTGGGCAAAAATCTAATTATGCACTTAAAAGTTTCTATTCTAGTATGAATAAACCACCCACCATTACTGAATATAAGTAAACACTTTTCAAACAGAAACGATTTACTGCTTTTATTTGACCCTGACAAAATGGGACAGGGCATTTGTAATTATTAATCTTCAGTGCCCTCAAGTAAACTAGAGAGTGTTTTATATTTAAAGATTTGTTATCATTCCCATTTTACATGTTTCCCCAAAGTTTTTGGGAGTTTTGGGAGTGGCCTCACACCACACAAGTTGTGCCATTCTATCCATATATTAGTGTAATTGTTAACCAATGAACATTTTAAGATGTAAACTACTGGAGTTAGCATCAACTCAAATGTATTCTGATACAATGAACGAAATGTTGGATGTATTCACCCATTGTGGTGTAGCAGTTGTTTGCTTTTTAAAATAGTTTTGGCTAATCTAACTATGTGGTTGCTGCCTCCTTATATCAAATATGGTTGTTTTAAAATTACATTATATACTTTAATGCTAAGGGGTTATATACTATTAAACATCTATTAAGGCAAGAGTAACGATGATGTTTAACTAATTCAGTCTCATTGTATTTGTGCAGGCGGAAGGGGACCGATTACCACCTGGACACACAGTGAGCCAACTGGAGACCTGTAAGATCCGCAGTATCCGAGCTGGGACACTGGAGCGGCTGGTCGAGACGCTTCTCACGGCATTTGGAGACAATGACCTCACCTACACCTCCATCTTCCTGTCCACCTACAGAGCCTTCGCCAGCACACAGACTGTATTAGAGCTATTGTTAGACAGGTTTGTGCTATCATGCAAAAGTAGAAGGAGTAGATGTGGAATGATGAACTGTAGACATAACCTTTTTTATGTGGCAGATATGGAAGTTTGGAGGAAAATACGGAAACAAATCGGTGCCAAAGTACTGAGACCAGGGGAGCTATCAGAAAGTAAGGTCTTTTATTTTAGTTTCTCAATCCTGTTCCACTGAAACGTTTATTGCATTACTGTATCTGATATGGTTGTGTTGTTTCCACAGTGCTCTGACATCGATACTTCGTGCCTGGTTAGATCAGTGTCCAGAGGACTTCCAGGAGCCCCCAGAATACCCCTGTCTGCACCGCCTCATACAGTACCTGTGTAAGGCCCAGCCGGGGTCTGAGACTCTGAGGCGTGCACAGAGTCTGCTTGAGCAGCTACAAAGTCAGGCCAATATGGACGACTGTGACGGTAAGGCTTTTGAAAGCATAAATGTTTGCTACCCCTTTCCACAAACTGTGCAAATTATAGCACATCACCTCAATTACCATAAAACATAATTTAATTTTGAATTTTCTTTGACCTCTATAAAGTACTATTTGTTTGACTTTTTGTCATGCAACATTTACAAATTTTATGTAATCAGTGCTAAAACTGTATAAAATAATGTGCTTGGCAAGAAAGGCCTACAGATGAACCTGTGATGAGTTTACCCTCATAACAGTAGTGTTTTTGTCCCATACATGGAAATGTCTGGAAATGGAAATGTCTTACTTTTTATCTTCTTAGAATTGTTATTGATGTCTCCTTATCGCTTTCTGACAGGTTTCCATGGCAACTCTTCCTTCTGTTTGGGCGAGGAGGAGGAAGTGGAGATAGAGGCTCAGGAGAACTTCCTGTCGTTCGACGCTGACCTCGTGGCAGAGCAGCTAACCTACATGGATGCAGTAAGTTATAGATAAAGAAAGTACAAAACAAAAGGAATACTGCCTGTGCTTAGGAAGGAAGGGTATCACGGTCACATTTTTGTACAATCTCTCCACTGTATGATCCTTCACTTATACTACAGACAATTCTGAGATATTTAGGTTTACGATTAAATCATACAACTGGTCGATTAAGTTAGTTATCAATAATAATGACTTAGTCTTTTATTGCTTTTACATATGCAATGAACCTTAAGCCTTATTGTTTATTCATTTTCTTCATACTCTGTGGTGGTAAGCTACCTTTGTGACACAGCTGCCCTGGGGCAGTCTATTATAAGTGAGGCTCAAAACCTGAGCAATTAGCCCCTCCGAATTGAATAATTCAAGCACACACCCTTTTCATACTAGGCAAGCTGAGTGAAGTGTGACAGCTGTTGTTGTCTCCCTAAGGACACAACAACAGTTTTCACTAAAGCCACTGTCTCATCTGTGGCACCTGATATTCAAGTTGTAACCAGACCCAATCCTTCTTAGCTTCCAAGATCAGATGAGATTGGGCATTCACAAGGTGGTATGATGGCATGGTTATCTAGCTTGAGAGCAGTATACTTTTTAGCATATTTCTGAGGGTTTATTATAATATCATCTAATTATCATCACTGGGATAATGTAAACAAAAAGTTATTAATATATGAATAGCTCAATTGCAAAAATGTTAGATATCCGAGGATTGATTGTCCATTCAACATGATTTTACGTTTTTTTCCAGCTGCTGTTTAAAAAGGTTGTGCCTCACCACTGCCTGGGTTCGATCTGGTCTCAGAGGGATAAGAAGGACTGTAAGCACAGCGCCCCTACTATAAAAGCCACTATCATGCAGTTCAATGCCGTGGCAGCCTGCGTGGTCAGTACTGTGCTAAAACATAGGCAGATTCGGCCACATGCCAGAGCCAGGGTGATACAAAGATGGATCGATATTGCTCAGGTAAAATCCACAGACTCTTACAGTAGATGCTACTGTGGGAAGAGGAGTATGGTTTTAATTTATAGTTTGCTGATTAACAGGAGTGCAGAATACGAAAGAACTTCTCATCTTTGCGAGCCATCGTTTCAGCTCTACAGTCCAACCCTTTGTACAGACTGAAGAAGGTGTGGGCCTGTGTGAACAAGTAAGACACAACCTCTCTTATTAAAACTAGTGTTGAGCTGTTTATTAAAAGTAGCTTCAATTAAATATTACTTTTTGTTGAATTCAGAGACTGTATGCAGACGTTTGAGGAGCTGTCTGATATATTCTCAGATCACAACAACTACCTGACCAGCAGAGAGCTACTAATGAGGGTAAACCAAAAGATCAAATTATCAAATCCAATCATTGTTATATAACACAAAGAGACTATGTTGTTGTCACTCCCGGACATCCCACTTAAAAGCGGCTCTCCACACTCCACCTGCCAAGGACACATACTGTGCTTGTTCTAAAATGGTGTTTCCTTTCTGTTGTGTATGTTGTACAGGAAGGCACTTCAAAGTTTGCCAGTCTAGAGAGCTGTGCCAAGGAACACCAAAAACGCACCCACAAAAGACTCCAGCTGCAGAAGGAAATGGTGAGACAAGTGGCTACTTTTAAATTCATGAGTGGCATTGTTGTAAAGAGGGCAAAAATACTGTAACATTCTCCAAAAACCACAGCAAACTATGCAAATATAAAAGTATGATTAAAACTTTTCAGACATTGGGACCTTTTTGTTTTCATGAATTATGTTATTGCTTTGCCTGGAATGTTCCATGGTATGGCATTAAAATGATCTTGCATTTTATTCAATCATTCAATCACAATTGAACATTGTAGGCAAAACTATAACATTGCCATGAAGACAGCAAGGTAAAAAACACTTCCCAGAAAAGTTACAGAATCTTACTTGAGTGCTGTAGGGTGATTCTGACACTTTACTTGCATCACATAATAATGTTATATTTTTACATCCTATTTTTTATTCTAGGGAGCAATGCAAGGAACAATACCATACCTGGGCACTTTCCTAACAGACCTGACCATGCTTGATACAGCTCTACCTGACGAAGTGGAGGTAAGTTAAACTTGCACATCTGTTGAATGTGTTTCCATGTATGTGAGTTTACCTTCCCCGGCACATCTGAGAATCTGTGCTCAGAAGTGAGGCCTGTAAGTTTCCATTGGTGTGTGAGGAATTTGTACCTAATGCTGTTTGTCCAAGCGCCTGCTGGTATGTGATGTGTGCGGACCCTGACTACTTGTTCTTGTTTTCCTCAGGGTGGCCTCATTAACTTTGAGAAGAGACGAAGGGTGAGTTTCAAGTGTTATCTACATGGTAATTTTAAATGGCATAAAAAATATATAATCTAAGGCAATAGTTTAAACAAATTCTGATGAGAACTAAACCAGGACTAAACATGTTAAATCTTAAACCAGTATCAATCTGGCATAACATAGACCAGACACATGGTATTATGTAAGTAACTTGTGACATAAATAAAGTGGATTGTGAATAGGGTCATACTAAAATCTATACCTAATCAATAACTAATCATTGAAGTAATCAGGCCCAACCCAACCTTTACATTGGCAGTAAAATGTATATTGTGTTTTCACTAATGGACAGCAGTAATAAAGCAATGCATCTGCAATTATACCACAGTTGATTAATTCATTATCTTAATTTATTTTGAGCTGTCCAGAACAGAGCTTGAGATCGAACATAAAAACCATCATTGGCTATATATACACCATGTTTAAATGCAAGTGTGATGGAACTGTGGAACCTAATAAGCTAACGGGATGTAAACAAAAATTAAATGGTACCAACAAAAATATAAAACTACTTTCACCCTTATTCATCACAACATGGTCAGAACACTAATTACATTTTGTATATCTCCATAGGTTTATCATTTGGGAAATAAAAAATTCTGTGAAAGGCACAATTTCTGTAGAATTGCAATCTCACATCTTGCTCTGTTTTTGCAGGAGTTTGAAGTCATAGCTCAGATCAAGCTGCTCCAGTCCGCCTGTAACAGCTACTGCCTTCACGCAGACTCAGCTTTCCTGCGATGGTTCAAGAGCCAGCCTCAGCTCAGCGAAGAAGAAAGGTACCACTGATAGGATTGCACCTCTGTCCTTCACATAACGACTGCATTAGTGTGAGAAGCCATGGACGGTTGCATCTATTGTCTCTGCACGTACAATGACAAGTCCTTGCACTCCCACTGGTCTATTGTACTGGTTGTTTTGGCTTCTTTCTCTCCCATTCATACCCTTTTAGACTTTCTTTCTTACCCTGCTCCCATAACCACAAGGCACACGGTCAGTTCATGTTGTCATCATTACTTTTTTTCTTGCAGCTACGCCTTATCCTGTGAAATTGAAGGGCTCGGTGACAGCAGTCCAACTTCGCCCAAACCACGAAAAAGCATGGTGAAAAGACTTAGTCTGTGAGTAAAAATAGCATCCAGAACAATTTTTCTTGTTACTCCAAATTAGCATTTTTCTAGTTATGGTTGATTTATTTGGCTAAAGTGATTATTACATTATCTAATCTTGGACTTCCCTTGACATTTCAGACTTTTTCTTGGAGCAGACAGCAGTGCTGCCAGTTCTCCAGTGAAAGAGACCCCACGCTCGCCTCCTACTGGCAGCTCGGGGGAAAGCATGGACTCTGTCAGCGTGTCATCCAGTGACTCGGGCAGCCCATCAGACAGTGAAGTACTGACCCCTATCCACTCCAGTGATGCTCAAATTAAGGTAAAGTGTTATTTTTTAAAACATCCAAGGTATAAATGTTTCAAATGTTTGAGATGATTTTCACATATACTGAAGGCTTTTTTGCCATTAGGATTAACATTTATTATATCATACACAAGTGCTGGAGTCACAAATATAGCTAACACATTTGGCTTTTCTTACAGCTATCAGATTCCTCCTCCTGTGCATCCTTACACTCCACGGACACAGCCTCATCGACCACCAGTGTTTCCATGACACCCGTGTCTCCCTCACACGTGGGTCATCACTGCACCCATCGCCGCTCTGTTTCCCTCACTCCAATGTCTCCCAGCTCTCCCACCCAGACCCTGCTCTACAACACACAAGCCCAGGACGCATGCATCATCAGAGTCAGTTTGGAAAATGGCAATGGAAACCTTTACAAGAGCATACTGGTACATACATTGTCAATATTATGTTGGTAATTAGTAAAATTGATTTGCACTATTTAGAATCTCAATATTCTTTTGTTTTTGTATGCAGTTAACCAATCAAGACAAAACTCCAGCTGTGATTGCGAGAGCGATGGCAAAGCATAACCTGGAAGTAGAGCAAGGCGAGGGATATGAGTTGGTGCAAGTCATTTCTGATGAGAAAGGTAAAAATAATAATAAATCTACCATGTGTCTTAAATTGTGTTTTTCTGCACTGAACAAGAACAGGATTGGTAACTAATCTGTTACTTACAATATAAAAATGCAAGTCGTATATTATATATAACCAGAATACATTTATAGTAAGTTTACACAAACAGAGTGTGAAATAAAAGTAAGATGACAGTGTATCTCTTATATCTTTCAGAGCTGGTAATTCCTGACAATGCCAATGTGTTTTATGCCATGAACACATCTGCAAACTTTGACTTCCTGCTCAGAGTTCGGGGGTCAGCCGGGCGACCAGTCCAACTGCGGAGCCGCTGCAGCACCACAGTGCCACGGCAGCACCGCTCCAGTCTGTCCCTGCGGCTCAGCAAAGTGACTCTGTGACACAAACCCCAAATGAGAACTGGACCTGTGCTGAAAAACAAGCTCTTTGTGATCATGAAGAAAATGGACAGATCCTGAGCTCTTGCACACCTTCTCCGTACTGTGCCATGTTTCATGTTCTTAAGTTTGTAGCACTTAAATCAGAAACACGGACCAGTAGCACGACTGTTGTGCCAGTGGACCTCTTCTTGGGGTGTTGTGCCTGTATCTAAGTGGGGAAGTGCGACCCCTGGTGGCACTTACTTCCAATTGCAACAGGTTTTTGCACATGTTTTGGGAGCAGCCAAACTCCTGACCTCTAACAGTATTCTAAAGACTTTATAAAATATCCTGTGATGTTTTCTATGTTATTAGAAGTATTGAGGCAAACTGACTGTTATGCCTATATAATTGAATGGACATTGTACAGATTTCTGGATGATATGAATTAATTGACAGAAGCTGTAATGTCTGAATCTGTTGCTGCTTGTGGCGTGTGCACAGTGTGTATGTGTATCCCCCTCTCATATTGTGAGCTATTTGACGAATGCACTGGTGATGCATTCTGACTGGTTCAGTTACTTGGTTTTAACAAGTCCTTGGTAAATATTAAAATGGCCTTAGCCACCCTATCTTCTGGGTGAAATGAAAAAATGAAATGTGTGCTACTTTCTCTAAATGATGACCCTCTGCACGTCCACACTGAAGGAGGTGAATGAGGGTTTGAATTAGTGGAAATGAAAGTGTCTTAGAGCCAGTGGATGTTTTATGATACCTCTGTGCCCTTCAGTGTTGATCTACAGTTGCACTTGTCAGTTGAAGGAGATGCCAATGCGATGTGAATACTGAAGTAGGAATCTTCCACTAATGTTGTGGACTAGTTTCCTTCTTCACCTAATGAAGTATTATTTTTGTTTGTCTTTTTTATGTTTTTGTAATTCAGGTGAATATAAGCCAGATTGGAGTATGTTAAATGGTTTTCAGTATATGTTTCATTTCAGACTGTCAGATAACTGTGATCTGTTTGTTATTTTATGAACCACTTTACAACCTTCTACAGTTCATTTGCATAACTTATGTGTATTTTCCCCAACACTGTCTCATCATAGTCACACCTTGGCATGATACTGACATGTCGACAAATGACTACAAAAATGCGCTGTTTACCTGTTTCTGTGTTTAAACATGTAATTCAGCTGGTCCTCTTATACAGCACTTTGCTCTGTTCATTTAAAGTATTTTCTCCACTGCCAAAGACTCCTTTCTGAGCAAATAAAATATTATCTTTGCATAATTCTGTTGACATTGTTTTTCTCCTGATGAGTGACATAAGATTGACAGGCTGCTCTGTGGTGTTGACTGATGTTGACATTGTCAGGACGAGGGTCTGTCCTGGCCTGGACCCAGCTCATTCTGCTGAGTACAGGACTTTTCTGCTGACTGAATACACAGCTCCTGACCTTTCTTTCCCCAAACTAACTTTATTATACTGGCCTGTGGCTATGCCTTTTCCCAGAATTTCAAGACATTTTATGACAATAACACTCATCAAAGGTTTTAAAGTCTGATGACAGATATGTTCTTTATACTTTGTTATATAATGTACAGACATGTTTGTGGGATTAATCAGTTTATCAAGTACGCTTTGGGTGATAAATCAAATCAAATCAATAGGCCACCACAATCTGTATAAATAGGACATGTAGGCCTATCCACCAAATATGTAAGGTATATGGTTTAGATCACTGATTCTTAACCATAGGACCGGGGCCCAAAATAATATACTGCATTTAATATGAGCTTATGCTCTAGGTTTAAAAAAAAAATGGCCTCAGTGTTAAAAAGTTTAAGAGCTCCTGGTTTAGATTATACATGATTTAGTTCCTACTACAATATATTTATATACTCATTTGGAGTGTACTTAGGTTTATAGCATATTACAAAAAATGACTTTTTAACTCGATACATTGCTACACTGGCAAATAAACGGCCAGCAGCACTATAATTTCTTAACTGCAGTCATCACCAGAAATGAATCGGGTTGTCCGCATGTTTAAGCCTGGATGTCCTGCTGAGAGTTAGATCCTCACTTGTCTGTGGGAGCCACAAAGAGACTTATTCAGAGCCTGTGTGCGCCTGTTTGAGTCTGTGCATTAGTGTGGGACTGTGGAGGTCAGCCCTCTGAGGTCCCTCTCACCCACTCTCACCGGAGACTACAGCTGCAGCTGCTTTAATCCTCAACTCTCTGGAGTGGGCCACCAGATTGTCTGCACCAGGCACCAGTGTTTATGCCTGCGTTCTGGGGGAGGGACGGCACCACTCCATCCATCTGCCCCATTTTGCACAATGCAGCAGTGTGTGAGAGACAGGAGAGGCTGGGGTTCTTTTCTAATTAAAGGGCATTTATGGACACTAGATCACATGTATTCAAATAAAACACAATTATTTCAGCAGTGCAGGAAGACATGCACATTCAATTTCAAAATGTGTAAAAATCCCAAATCAGGAAAAATAAAAAATAAACACAATTCAGTTTTAATAACTATTTATTGTCTGTTCAGTAAAATTCATGACTTAAAAACGATCATGTACAAATGTATAAGAATTGATACACATACCTGCCTTTAAAAGTTTGAAGGAGAGACAGTAAACCACTCTTTTGTAGTGTTTTCTACTAGTAAAATGATGTAAAATGGTCTTAGTTTTTGTTAAAGTCTTTAACAAAGCAAAGCAAATCAAAACCAAGTAACATGGTCACAGCCTACAAACAATGTAGCCTTTGTAGCTTATAATGAATGAAGATGTGAGTTACAGACTAAGGCCCTATTTCACTTTGGTTAATACAAGTAAACAACAGAGACTTCAAAGTTACTGCTCTGACATTCATGACGCGTCTTAAGACTTGTTACTCGCCCTGAAGATTTGACTGCTGTAAGATGAAGCAACACCACAACATTGTAATTTTATGGGGTTTATCTTTTAACTTGTGCACTTTCTGTAATAGTTGCGTTGCAGAAAAAAATGAAATGGATCTTACTAAAGGAAATAAACTAAAGAAAATTAAATAAATATTTGATAAGGAGAAAGCACACAAGCCATCACCATGCAGTCACTTATGTGTTGCCATGGTGACAGATATAAAAAGGAAAGAAATTCAGTTTTATCTGTAATGTATAATGCTTACACAATGCAAAGTAACTAAAATGTACAATTCAAAGCAATGTAAAGAGAAACATACGTGCTTCTTTCAAATACATTAGCTTAACAACAAAAAGCAACTTGAAAATTTTCTGCAAGACGATAATCTCTAGATGATCTATTCAAAAGATATAAAACAACTGCTGCATGGATCCTGCAAGTGGTTTAAATACTTAATTATGTGGATAAAACATAACAGGATGAGAGGGAAATTATTAAAACATTTACCAAAGCACACTGAACATTTAAAGCTGAGTACAATATCTTAGAGGTACCTGAGAAAGTTTAGTTTGACAAAATAGACATGTAATGATCTATTATAATAATCTGTCAAATATTTTGAGGCCCAACCCATTACAACCTTTTAAAATTTAACTGTATAAATGTGTGAATGTTAAGAGATAAATAATCTATTGTGTTCCATATAAATTCAATAACTGGTTGCACAGACATAAAGAAGCTTACTAAAGCTTTCCATTGCACTTCCAAGTGTCCACGATTTCTTTTCAATTGTGCAATTCCCTTTAATAAAAGGATATAAACCCCATAGTGTGCGTCCATCTACTTGCACAATGAGAAAATAGTTCATTTTGCAGCACAATAAACTCTTCTTACTGGACACATTCTAACTTCACTAAACAATTTCCTGTCATTAATAGTCTTGAAATGTCCTTGTACACAACATTTACTATAATGCTGGTGTGTGGCATCAGGTGTGTTGTGCCGCCACTTCCTGTCCAATAAACCTCCGCAATCGCTCCAAATACTGGCTGTACAGCTCAATGTCATTGTGCCCTGCCCCCTCCACCCACAGTGGCTCGACTGCTTTGGGACAGCGCTCAAATAAGGCCAGCCCATGGGTGAAGTCTATCACCTCGTCTTCTGTACCATGGATGATCAGCACCGGAGAGGTGATTTTAGAAACCTTCTCAATGCTGAAAACAGGAAAAAAAAAAATCATAATTTTAGTCTGCATACATAATATATAGTTTCTTTACACTAGTATTTACTTACTAGTACAGTATTTATTGTGTTGTGATGGGGAGGCTCACTCATGATACAGTAGAAATTTTCTTTTCAATTAAAAAGATGTATTTTGGCCCATGATTATTTTAATATAGCAAAAACGATGGTATGGAGTTGTTCAGCTGTCTTTTTGTTTATTACTTATGATGATTGTGTAAACATACAGCCACCTCAAATCTATAAGCACTAATATATATGACCCATAGCTGTAGCCAGGAATAAAGGTTTAAAAAGTGTATATATTAACAGTAATTTCTTCATGTTGATTTCAGTGAAAGGAAGCAAACTAACAAAATTATAGGCATGGAATAGGAGCCTGTAGTATGATATAATGTACAGTTCACATCAGTCACATAGTTATTTTTATAATACACCTTGTATATTTTAAGACTTTTTGTACACAGTTTATTCAATTAAGTTAACACCACTGCAGCATTTTTATCACTATTTCAAATACCACAGAAATGGTGTGGAATACAAAGAAGTCTGCCCTGCACTGCACAGACACTACGCAATGGGCTGAAACACAAGCTGGAGGCTGTCTCTCACAATGCTGGAGGCTCTCTCATTTCACCACATTCAAACAGCTTTGACAACTACCACTAGTCAATTGCTTTTCTCTGGTTTTCCTATCTATGTTCAGGACCCACTTTGGCATTAAACATGGCGCAATACATAGATATAAGGTCTGTGGTGGAACAATAAATATTTGGAATAGTCTATCTGTTGAAAGTGACGGATATGTCATATGCAGTTCAATAATATGCCGAGAAGCTGCCGGAGGAGAACAATCACTCCAGTGAAGATAACAGCTGCTAGATCACACACTCCTTGGGGCTAGTAGTATCTGAAATTGAATATCATTGAGTTGGCCTACTTACCTCTTCAAAAGCCAAATTAGAATAAGATTCATGTCCACAAACTAAAAATGATAGCAAACATTTCGGCACAGATGTGTGAACTAAAGACCTTTTTCACAAGTGGCAATTATAGCTTTCTGTTGGCAGATCTGTAATTATGCAAACACGCTGCCAAACAGATGAAAGTGCGTGTGTGGATTGTGTTACGCAAACAGCTAATTTGGAGATCATACCAAACAAAGAGCACATAATGACATGGACATGCTGTGGAGTCTGTTATTTAGAGTTTGCAAAGAAAGTCATAACTTGTAATCATTGTTTGAGGTTGATAAAGTAACCATTAAATCAAAAACTCACTATTAGGAGAGTGGCTTACCTCGGGAAAGGATCAAAGCAGTATGTTTTCTTGGTATCAGGAAAAGCAACCCTCATCCCTGAAGTGAGAGGAGAGTGCAGGACCACAGCAGCACACTCGTATCTAGAGGACAGGTCTACTGTGGGGACTGTACCAATGCTCTGTCCATACAGGATTATGTTCTCTGGACTGATCCCATACCTGCTCAAAACACAACAGCCCACTTCACAATCCACAATCTCCTCACCTAAAGCTAATGTTTATTTAAAAGAGCTGCACAACACTAGAATTCAGTACCATTGTGTGTTATTTGATGAATTTGTTATGGTGTATATAAAGAATACACTGGTCAGAACTAGGTTTATCATCTATGGTACTGTCAAAAGAAGCATTCACTGTAAATATTCTATTACCAAACACACCTGATCCAACCCTAACTTACTGTTATGTTAGGTCATGTGTTTGTGCCATGGCCCTTCATCACACCTTTGTCCTTGAGAGAAAGAACAGTCTCTCTGTCCATCCATCTCTCATTTTTATTCCCTTGATAATCCTCCCTCTCCATCCCCGCTCTAAGCAATGTGCTCTCCATCCTGCATCTTCTACATTCACTTCATTTAACACACTCTTCCCTTAATGTCTAATTAGGACTTAGATGATTTACATGTTCAGCTATGCGATAGATCCCTGGTATCTCAAAACAAACCTTGTCCTGAGTGCATGCCAGGCAGCATCAATGTCTGCGTACAGGTTCTTCTCTGAGGGCTTGCCAGTGCTGACGCCGTAACCAGAGTAGTCATAAGAGAAGATGTTGCAGTTTATACGAGTTCCCAGTCCGATATAGAAAGTGCTCATCTGACCCAAATCAACCGCATTACCATGAGAGAATAGCACGGTGAATCTGAAATTGAAAAAATTTACACTTGTAAAAGGAGAAAAATTATACCTCATACACTTGGTCATGTTCAAGTTCAACAATAGTGGCCAGAAAAGTAAATAATCCCAAGAAAACCACTTTGATTGTCAGTAGATAAAATGGATAATGTATCTATTATTATATGTGATTTTGTGTACACAATTAAAGGCATTCTCTTCAACATGTCAAACCTGAGAAGCAGAGTATCAACTGTTAACCCTGGTTATTTAATCTCATGCCTTTTATTCATGAATACGTGTGGAGAAATTTGATCCATTTTCTAGATACAGACAATTTTGAGGTTCTGACACAGCAGCTTTGTTTATGGACCCTTGAAGCTTGTGGCTTAGCCTTTGGCCCTTAACTGTCAGAATAATATACAACAATGCTTTTACCCCATTGGGAATGGCTTGCATTTAGTCCAGTGTAACTTGAGCTCATAACTAGAGCAAAAAGTAATACTGTTACTGATGAGATCTGTCAAAAGATGAGAAACATTTACTGCAGTGCATGGCAAAAATACAATTAAATTAGGGCACTAAATTAATGGGACCTGTTTCCGGTTACCTTTACCCAGGCTATTTACACAGCATATAGACATACAGACAAACTGGATTTACAAGATAAACACTGTGAAAGTATAGTGTCGCAAAAACTACATTCTTCCGATACATATGAGGAAAATAATATTGTTTGACCTAGTAGCAGTTGTTCTATTGTGTAATTTAAAGTAAAACTTTGATCAGAACCAACTGAACACACCTGGCATTGGGAGCGCAGCGAATGTACATGCAGGCGACTTTGTTGCCTCTGCTGGATCGGGTTAAAAACACTTCTGTCATGTCCAGCTCTCTTTGTGAATACTGAAACTCTGCTCTGTCTGTAAGGTGGAGCTTCCATCTCTCTTCAGTCACTGCAGTCGCCCTGTGTCCTACGGTCCCTGGAGCCGTAGATCCACTGTCCAGGTCTGGTAGAAATGTGTACGTGGGCTCCGGGGGCAGGAAGGCCAGCTTTGAGGCAATCTGACTGGGGCATGGGGGGCAGCAGAAGAGGCAACAGAGCTCACTGAGAGAGAGGCCATTCATCCTTCACTGTAAAAGGAGGACAAGAGGGTCAGTGTGAGCATTATACTAGTATGGACAATAGGATGCTTTCAAATAATAGGCTATATGACACTTGGGCTGAAGACATTACAATAGTAACTACTAGTAATGCTTAATTAAAAACAGCACATTGTGCAAAATGTGTTCAACCAAATGAGTCTTGAGTGAATGTATTTACATGTAATTATAAACCCAGAATGATAACATTGGTAAGTGTATAACATGTTTAAAATGTTTAATGTTATTAAATACATTATTTTAATAAATAAGATAAGGGTGAGATCAACCATAGACCCACCTGTTGATCTGACAAGAGTTAAAGGAAAACTATGACAAAAACAAGGAAGAAGTCCTCAGCTTCTAGCGGGTTTCCTCATCCACTCAGGACACTGTAACTTAAGTGCTTTCTCGGCAAAAGCAGGAAAAGTAGACTGCAATGGATCCCACTGAGCTCGGCGTAGAATTAATTCCAACCTGTGGTTTGTTATCGACCTTGAGACTGGTTACGATCCATGTTGTCCACCTAAAAAAGTAAAGAGGTAAATAGTAAAACGCCACAGCTGTCTTAAAACCACTACCAACAAATTTAGAGTTTAGGATTAAACACTGTCAAAACGTGGAAATCTATTGAAATTGAGACTTGTTTTAATAAAGAATCCACAACACCGGCCAATTATTGATATGTCAGTGCAAATGTACCAACAAAATCAGATATCGTACAAAACATAACACAGAAACACTTGTAGATGCTTGTCAAAGCTAAGGCTAAGTGGGCTTAAGCTAGCACGATGACATATAAACACGGCTGTACGGAAAAAACAGGGACGTGAAAACACCCGACTCTAAAAACACAATTACCAGAGCTTGTATACGAACCCGTGGGATCATGATCGCAGCGAATATGCTCCGCTTCTTTAACTTTACAAATGTTGTCTCCGCGATCTTCGTGCTACCGTTTTAAAAGTGATCCAAGTGCTCTGAGCTGACACTCCGCAGCTTCACCGCACCCGGAAGCGACAGCTGACAGGATGTGACGTACTGGCCTCCCATTGGACACTTACGGCAAAGCGTTATCAGTGTAGGCAACAATGAAGTCAAATGTGACAACAAAACCCACGCAAATACTTTTCAGGCTCAAGAAATGTTTAAGGATATGATTCATAATTCCCTCACTGTGGATAACTTCTTGTCAAAATGGATAGGCTCACATAACAACCGCTGAGATGCTTGAGTTGCTGGATCTCTAGTAGGCCTACTAATTTGTAAACAATCTTGAAAAGTAATAATTTTTAATTTCAGGAAAGAGTCATACACATATTACACGATAACACACACAGTAGACATTAACTGATCCATTTTAGAAAAAATTGTCAGTGCAGCTTTGACACCGCTTTGTTGTAGGCTATGATGTTTTCATTGCACAAACGTGTGTGGGGGGAAAAGACAGAGACAAGTGTAATTTAAAATAAACTTTGTGATTTTATTGTTACTTTTACACATCATACAATCCTAAGATTTTAAAGAAAATCAAAAATAATAAAATAAAATAAAGATCTGGTGGCATTGCAGGAGACTGGGGTGCCAAGGAATTCGCAAATATGTCAATCGTGCCTATTTTAAAACTTAGAATACACAGTTCATTCTATCTGCATTTATCTTAATTACCTTTCTCCCCAAATAATCTATACATTACGTAGCCTATTTGAACTGATGAAGACAGTCATTGTGCATTATATTATGCCACATGATGACAAGAGCTTGAAACAAACAAGAGGTGTCCAAATACACATAGCCTAATACCACTGATATACTATATGTAGATGTTTAATGTAAGGAGATCCTAATTGCTGGTGATGAGTCCTTTATAAAAACTGTAAAAAAGGTTTGCAAGACACTTTCTCGGCCCGTGAACAGGTCATGACAGGCAGAGAGAGGTCCAGCTAGTGTGAAGATGGTGGGTTACATTCAAACTGCTCAAAATCTTTAAAAAATACAATGGTGGTAGATATGAGCAGTCAACAGAATTAGCAAGTGTATACCTGCAAACAGCTTTATAATCGTATGGAGACTTCTACTGAATCAATAGGAACTCAAGGGAATATGTTTATTTGTTGTGAGAATTTTGAGCAAAGATTGCCACCAGCAGTCAAGCTTCTGTTGTGTGCGTGCCTGTCCAATGCTTTACTTAAAAACAGCATCAAAGCTTCTGTAGGCCAGGTCTCATACTGTACACAACTAAACTCCACATTTCAAATTATTTCCAACTTAAATACAATGGGACAATGTCAGTGTCAAGTCATTTCTACTGATAAGGCTTAATTTGATAGAATCTAATTTTTATCTTAATAAAACACGATCAGGTCCAAAGTAACTCGTGCATACAAGAATGAATCATTCATTACTCTAAAACATTCTGCATGGGCTTAATTGGATCACACACAGTTAATATACCTTCAAACTTTTCTACTGCTTTTTAAATAAATAGTTTATCATTAAGATCAAGCATTTACAAGGAAAGCTACAGATAATAAAAAGATTAAATCCTCAATGGCTCTGC